AATATTTTGTAATAAGTGGCACCCCTTCCTTGAAGGGAGAGATCTGCCATTGAATTTGCTTTTAGAAATTAGTTTATACTTAAACAGTGAATTGCAATGAAGGTGTGCTCTGATTGGCTACTTATCCTTTGCTATTCACCTCCAAGTAATACACATGGGATTTGTGCTCAAAAATGTTATAATCATTATAGGAATAAACAAAGTAAAATCATCTTTCTGTGCTGTGTTATCATTATAGGAATATACAAGGTAAAATCAGCTTTTTGTGCTATGTTATCTCACTGTATTAGTATATACTAAACCAACTATTCAAAAATGACAGTGGCTGGAAGTGGACAATAACATAGCTAATTTGTGGCTCAATTAATATCCACCACTAGCCACCTCTGCTTTGGTGAATAGCTGTTAATTATACCCAATAAGAAGTTGAGCAAATCAAATTAAAAAATTTTCTTTGGATGTTTCACATTTTGCAGTGTTGTACAATATCACAGTTGTAATAATGGTCAGAAGGCATCCAATATTGTTCAATAGAATGGCAAATTCACTGTTAATATCTTGTTCTGCTTCTTTAATCTAATTAACCCCCATCAATCTCACAACAACAAAATAAATTTCATCCATGAATTAAATGACCATATTTATCATTAACCTATGTACATGTTCACCACCCACCAATTCTTCCAAATCATCAAATTTAATTGCAGTTATCTCGCATGAAATATCTGCAGTAATCTCTAATGAATAGCTTACTCCTTAAATAAGGAAATACCCCACCCCATTGTTGATTAAACTTTTATGTCTTCTAAATCCATTAGGGTTTTTTATGTCACCTTGTAGAGCAATGCCTATTTGGAAATCTCTTCTTAGAAACAGAAAGCTTTTGAATTGCCCAGTCATTACCTTCAGATACTGTTTCAAATTAGGACACTGTTGTAGTTCTATTTTAAGCCTTTAACTGTTATGATCTAATTCAAGATTCTCCCCACTAACAGCCATACATTTACTTTTTAATAAGTTAGAAGAATTTGTTTCTAAACTGAGATGACAGCCAATGGCTACTAGCATCATCTATTTCTGAATAGAGTATTGATATTGTATATCTTATTTATGAGTTTCATTTTATAAAGGTCGGGGCTTTATAGAAAATATATGCTCTAAAAGAAACTACAAGTAAGGTTGGCTTTGTCAAAACCATATTTGTTTGTCTTTCTTTGCATATCAGTCCCACACTGTTCCTAATTATCCCTATCTAATACCATTGAATCACAATAAAGTCAACATGTTGTCCTATGGTGCACTACATAGTGTAACATAGATCTTTTAAAGCTCATTTCTGTTGTAAATCAACTGTCGCATGGATCTCCTACAATCTCTTTCATTTCCTTTTGAAGGAAAAGAATGGTTCTAATTTGACATTCTAGAACTTATTTGGAATGTATCTTGTCCCAAACAAAGTGAATCCAATTTCATTCCATGATGGTGCCTCAAACAGAATTCCTCTCTCTTTTGGGGTAGCAAATTCCTGGCATCCATTCCCTGTCATCTTCTGAATTTCCTGCAAAGGAAGGAGCTTGATTCCAAATGCTTTGGCCACCTTCCTCAAGGTATGACTCTTCCCAACCACGATTCCAACGTCTGCTTTTAACATGGCCAGTATATCTCCAATGGAATCGCCCACAAAAACTGAGATGCCATTTGAACTGTCAGTAGACAGCTTGTGGACCAAATCCTGAAATATTGTTTCCTTGTCAAAAGGACTTGTCACTTTCTTTCCCACATGGCCCGATGATAATTCACCTTCAAGTGGGAAACTGTTTGCAAAAATGTTCACATGCCTGAGATGATCTAAATTGGCCTGGATTAACTCCTGACACCAGTTGACTGATATTAGGTGCAACGGCAAGTTGATGTGATTGAGAACGTTCAAGCATCCAGGACTGAGCTTCACTTCCTTTGCAATTTCTTTGATGCCTTCCTTAGATATACCTTTGAGGATTTCACTTGCTTCTACCTTCTTCATCATTGCCATGTTATATTTGTTCACCTCTTGAAGAAATGACCTCAAACCTCTCTCATTGAAAGATGGCAAAGAATTGGGATCTGTGTGAAGAGCCATTGACCTTGAAACAGTTTCTTGGAGGCCTTTCCAGTAAATGGTTCCAATTTCTATCCAGCGTTCGTCAATAATCTTCATTTCGGCTTGAGTAGATGATCGATACCTCTCTGATGCCTTGTAAAGGAGACTAGTCGTGTCCTTCTGAGTACAAGTGCCATCAAAATCAAAAGCGAACAGATTGACTTTCAAACCCATCCAGTCTGCTTCACAAGCCATTGATGGTGATGATGCAAAGCCAGTGTCCATAACTGCTGCCATGATGACTGAATCAAGGAAAAAAGAGATAAAAAGCTTTAGCACCACAGTTTCAAATATTTCAGACAGAGTACATCACTCAAACAGTGTAATCTACTAGCCCAGCAAGATAGGGTAAAATGTACAAACTTTTAATCCTTCCCTCCCAAGATCTAATAAGTGATTCTCCTTACCTTTTGGCATACAATTCTTATTGTAAGTTTGGAGAATTTGGTATTGGTTCAACTGAAAAATATTGTAAGGAGAAATTCTGTCTCAGTCACTCATGGGAATCAAACGGTTTACTGAGTGTATCAAGTAAAAAATATGTTGTAACTAAGCTTTTGTCACATCTCGCCACTGCTTTCTTAGCATATCAAATTACTGTGAAAAAAAATTAAGTAAAATAACAGCAAGCGTGATATTCAAAATATTAAGTGTGCCATTTGTCTTCAGTGCTTGCTTTGTATGTCTGTGAAAAAGTGCAAGAGTCAAAAAAGGCTGACAGCTGACCGGCAAGGAAGAACTGTTATGGGTCCTCTACAAGGCTCCTTTCCACTGTGATACAACTTATGTAGGCACGAGCTGAAAGGCGTGCAAATATAATTGCTAAAGAGGGCAAGGGCGTCTAGACTGCATGGGGTGATATAATAACAAAAATACTTGGCATGAACACAAAATCTGAATCAATCTTATTGCAAAGTAAAGCCCATTGATTGATAAAGCATTAATCGTGTTTTGCAGACTGTCAAAGATAGAAAAAAATAATTCGTCATATTCAATACGATCTACAATAGTGATAATTGTTACCCACGTACGTGACTACTTGCTCAAATTTCTAAAATATCACTATGCAACAAGAATCTACGTTGACAAGTTTTCTTGCTCTTTTGTGAATAAAATGCCCTCAAGTCCAGCTGTTAATTGAATCTTCCTACGTAAGCTCGTGGTTGCATTTGTCACCGCCAGTACATGTGCTACGATTTTGTGTTATTATAACATTTTCGCCCAGGCAAGCAATTAGGCTGCAAGGTTTGTTCCATAAATACAAAGTTGCTCACTTAATATTCTTACCTATATGTCTAACTGAAAAAATGCTAAGCGTAATCTAATAATCGGGAAAAAGTTCTCGACAAAGCATCTTCTTAAGGCAACCAGTTACGTAATCAAATCACTGAAGAAGAAATATAAACAAGTTCACCCACCAACAACAGAGAAACTTGCTTTGGCGATAAGACCAAAGCTTCCTAATCCATTAAATTTGTAGAACTGAGACAATTTCGCTCTGAATTTGCCTCTTACCAGCATAAAGCGGTTGGACAAACCTTGGGTGTATTTATCTACCTCGCTATCAAGTCTCCTGTTTTTTTTTTTTTTACATGACGTCGTTTATTTTAAAAGAAAACCGCATCGCATACGGCTTGCAGGAGTAGGTTTTAAAATGGCCGCTCAAATGGCTAGCAGTGCAATGGAGAAAGTTTCAGAGAAAGTTTCTTTTGCAAAAAAGGTACTAATCTCCTTTAAAGAGAAATTTAGTAACTATTTACTTATTATTTGAAGCATTCATTGTTTCAGGGTTGCTATTTCTTTGGTTTGAGCACTTGAACTTGGGATTAAAACCATCGGAATTTTCTTAATCAACATTTTTTTCATGTACAGATTCCATTGCTGATGAAAGCCACTTCAGACGATAATAATCCAACTTCTGGTTACATATATCAGGAAATTACTAGTATCCTGTGAACCAAATTGGTTGAAAAGATATCTGCTTTATGACCCTGATTGTTCGATAATGCTATCTGTTCTAGTTACTAATTTTAATTGGAAGTTTCATTTGTCAGTTTATATATGTTTACAGACTTGGGTTACCATTGCGTCTCAATTGTATTTATTACTGGAAAGCAGTGGTTGCTTGTTACGCAAAGAAATGTAAGACTTGCACTCAGGAGTAAAAGGTGCCCTATTATCAGAACTACCTGAGATAGACAGGTGGCCTAGCACTGTACAACCTGGACTCCAGGTCATAAGGTGTGAGTGTGTGCTCTAGTCAGGTCATTGTGTTGTGGTCTTGGCCTAGACACCTAACTCTCACATTGCCGCCCTCCGTGCGTGAGTATAAATGGGTGCAAATGAATCGTCAGGGAGGCCTGATGAATGGAGGGGGCTTGGGAAAAAGAATACCTTTTAGTGGGCAGGGGACTAGACATACTTCCCTTGAGGGCTTCCGTAAAATTAGAATGGCAATACTGTTAAAGGGGTAAGTTTCTTAAGAAACTGTGGTGTTATGTCCATTGGAGAGTATAACAGGGTAATTTAGTATTACCAGAGAGTTTTGAGGATTAGTTCTTCATCATTCACCCTGATAAAGGGCTAATGCTTGAAATATCAGCTATGAAACTCTTTACAGTGGCCAATTTATGTTATTGTTGATCATACTAAATTACCTTGTTAATATTATCTATGAATGAAACTGGCTTCTTGGTTTATTGTAAAATTGTACTGGTTTTTTGAAAGCCACAGCTATCTGTGCAAAATAAAGATTCTTAAGAGCTGACTGAGCAGTGCATGGTGCACTGTGGAGATTGTTTTAATAACTAATAATTTTAGTAAATGTCTTTTTCAAAATTTTTCTTAAAATACCTGTGTATCAGAATACAAAACTATCTTTCTGTTTGATTCATTCCAGACAATCACAATTGAATTGTTGTCAACCAATTTATAATCTAACCATTTAAGTGCTTTAAATCACCATTTCTAAACAACAAATTGGATTGTTGTGCTTCAGTTAGCAGGTGGTTGTGGAGATAGGAAAACGAAGTAGCCTTAAGATTATGCCAACCAAAGATAACTTCTTGTGTCCCATAATTGGCATTATCGGTTCCATTAAGAGCAGAAATTTGCTTTGATAAATCTGCTGGTACATATTAAAAAACATTTTGTGAGTGCCCTACCAGCTGATGAGGGATTAGTCTTTTGTTTTTTATCAATCTAAGTTAGTTGGTTGTCTAGTTTTGTGCCATTAAAGACAGATGGAAGGTTTCCTTAATAAATATCTTAGGTATAACATATGAATCACTCAGCAGCTGCAATTCTCTGTTAGATTTTTTCATTAGTAGACTGAAGAGGCAATCACCATATATCAAGTACAAGGTCTGTGATATGACTGTAAATTATAAGGAAACAGGGATCATTTTAACCTTTAAACCTTAAGAGAATTGCTCCTTAAAGAAATATTGCTCAACCATTTATTAAGCTCATGAGAATTAAGAAAAGATTGCCAACCTAAGAAGCTCTTGATTGCAAAACAAATTCTCCTTGTCAGTATCAAAGGAAATGCATAGAGAGGGGTGTGGAGAATATGGATACTGATATTAGGTTGTAAAAGGTTAACAAACTCATTGAGTTTTTAAGGGAGTCTTCAACAAGATTTTTTCCTATTAAACATGATTATTGCCTTGTCAATATACAGTTGATTTGTAAGAGAGGGATGGATGCTTACAATTTAAAAGATCATGACAAAAGAGGAAGACCTTTACAGTACCACAACATAAAATACTTAATATATATTATCAATTGTTCAAATTTTTTTCTCTGCCTGCAGGTACTAAAGATTTTGTGCTATGTTGGAAGCAATGGTCATTCTGAGTTCAGAAGTGCTCTACGGCATAAATCTGATATTGTCAGAGAAACTGAAAGTAAGGACTTGTGAATTTACAGTGAGTTTACAATGTGTGTTATTTTTTTGGAGGATATTTACCCAGCCTTCATGGCTCAGTAAATATGCATCACTCGCCACCTCAACTTCAGTGGTTAGATAATTGTTTTTTTTTTGGTACAGTTACTGTCAGTAATAGCTGGTCACAGTGCTAGTCAGGGGTTCTTCTTAAAAAAAAAAAAAACTGTTCTGTCCTCCCTCTCTTCAGGGTGGGTTGACATTAATGTGAAACATCATGAGGCCAGTTGAGCATTGAGTTACTTGCCAGGACTTTAAGCATTGTAAGATAATTTAGTTTTAAATGACTGTGAATGTATGAAAGTCATATATTTGAACTGTGGATAAAGACGTGAATATGAGAGCAATCCTTGCAGTAATGAGCACTACTTGCCTTATTTTTTATGAAAGCAATCTTCACAGTAATGGACACTAGCCTTAGTTTCACCACTGCTTAAGTAGTGTTCATTACTGGGGAGATCACTTTCATATTCACATAATTCAGTTTTGTCAATCTGGCTGATATTGTAAATCAGCCACCTTGAAGATTTTCAAAAGCTGACATTTCGAGCATTAGATCTTCATTTTTGCTCTGATGAAGAGCTAACCCTTATGACATCAGCTTTAGAAACTCTTAACATTGGCCTATTTACATTTATAAACTTAGTTGATTAGACCAAATTATCTTGTAATATGGCCATCAATGCAGTACCACAGTTTCTTTAAAAAACTTAACCCCTGTTAACCATTGTAGTTTCCAAAATTTTTACCTTGTGTTTGTTTAGAATAAGTAAGTGATGAGTAAAGAAATCAAGTCACCATGACCAAAATTTTGTTTACCTTTTATTCTAACAAATAGAATAAACACTGTCGTAGGAAAATTTACAAGATCTAGATTTTTGTATCTGTATATCCTGTCTCTGTCTAAGGTAATTGACATCAACATCCTTTAGTGATTAACATGCAACTTCTCTCTCTAATATCCACACATTATCCATGAAACAAGTAATGAGAATTCTCATAGTTATCAGGGAGAAGTTGTTATCTTGATTTAACACAAAGTGTTATTACTAATATATAATGGTAATAGGACTGAGTGGAGTCCAATTCAGTCTGTAATCATATGAGTGATTGAGCAAATCCCAAGACTGCAAAGCAGGAGTCAGGTTTGTTAATCATGAGGATGATTACCAACAGAAATGGATGACATAAAGTCCTGTTACCAATTAATCAAAACTATGACAAAGTTCAAGACAGAAGTTAGACTTTGGTCATATGTTTCCCAAAAAAAAAAACAATAGGTAACTTGGCAAAAGGTGCAACAAAAGCCCATGCGCATGACACATTCTGTCTACTTACACAAGCATGACATGTCAACTGTCCTGTTACATTGTCCAATTATAAGCATGACACATTCATTGTCTTATTATTGCTCAAATCAGGCTGGCAATAACCAATCACATTCGAAAATTGTGTTATAGTTTTGATTAATTTAGCAGATAGATGGGAGAATGGATAATCAAATTTTGGAAACTAAAGGGTTAAACTGGCATTAAAACCAAAAATGTTTTTGAGATAAATGTGCTATATTTGAAATAATCTCCTGCATTTTTATTCCTTTGTAGGTTTTACTGGTCAGTTGGATCATCTACAGGGTGATGCTCTCAATCAACGAGTTAGAGCCGCAGCATCAGTGAGTTATAAAATTTTTTAATTCCAATTAATAATTGATTAATTATGATACTTAACAAGGAATTTGCTCTTCCAAAACTGCCCAAGTTGTCAACACAAGAAGTTATCCTTTATTCACCAAGAGTGACTAGCATTTAATTTCTCCTTATAATGTCACCTCTGAATTAAACATTAATGTCCTGAGAATAGTAGAAATGATCACAAATTAAAAAGCTTTTGATTTATAGATAAATTCTCCTTGTCAGCTCCTTGGGAAGTGTATAGAGAATATTATAGAAAATATGCATACTGGTGTGTGAGAAGGTTGTGTAAGAACTCAAAAGGAGAACGTAGGAAGCAGTTTTAGTTTCGTCACTGTTAGTAAAAGCTCAGCTTACACTGCAGCCTGTGATAACTGCAAGACTTAGAAATCCGCTAATAAAGGAATGTATTTTTGTCTAGGAAAGAAGGCAATAAGGCATTAAAAATCTAGACTAAATGTTAGCAGTGTTCATTTTGTGGTTTTTCCTGATCTCCCATTCAACTGTTTGGAACATTTTCATTCAATTTACCTTTATGAAAGTTTATGTAATGTCAAGTTGTTGTTTTGTTCTCCGAAGAGGAGGTGAATGTTTGTGGCAAGGTAAACATCCACCACTTTCACTGACAATGGAGTGAATCACTGTTTGAGTATCTACTAAACAGAAACAAAAAAAATTTTTTTTTTCTGTTGTTCTAACAAAAAATGGTCAGAATTTACATTGTAGACAAACAATTTTGTCTCTTCAGCTACTCAGAGGTGAATAATATTTGCTAATCACTTTTGAACCAGTCAGTCAGCATGTAAGAAGAGCGCTATTCACCTGTGTGGTTTATATTAATAATAACTATTACTTTGTCTTGTAGGAGTTAATTGCACTACTCTTCAATGTTGAGAGCAGTGGAACTTCAACCATGCATGGTGAGTGAAAGGAAGGGGGACTGGCTGCTAAGATAGAGGAGGACTTGCCTCAGGGCCAAGGCTCTGAGCTGAGCATTTTTCAAAAAGGCTATTGGGCAACTGTGATTCAAAATAAGGTCACCAAGAAAAAAAAATCACATGTCAAAAGTAAAAAACAAGTATTGGTAGTATTTCATGATAAATTTTGTAGTGCTGAGAAGGCTTACCACACAGCATTTACTATGAAATAAACAGTCAGTGTGGCTGGAAATCACATCTGCAAGATTCATGTAACATCTCTGATAAGCAAGGAGAAAGATGAATTATTTTTCAGAAGGAAATGACTGTTTTTTGAAAAGTTAACCTGTATTTAACCCTTGAACTCCCAAGATCTGATTGTTAATTCTCCCCTCCAGCTCCTACACATTTCCTTGTCAATTAGTTATGAGAATTTGGTGTTAGATTAGGAAAACAACTTCTACCTGATCAGTTTGAGTATTCTCATTACCTGTTTGTGGGATAATACATGGATATTATAGGGAGAAGTTACTCGTTGATCACTTCTGGGAGTTAAAGGGTTGACTTTAGACTGCAAACACTTGGTATCTTCTGAAAAAAAAAAAGGAGAAAGTGAATTATAGTGGTTTTACCCTATAACTCCCAGAAGTGATTAACATGTAACTTCTCTCCATGATTCCCTTACATTACCCAGCAAACAGGTAATGAGAATACTCAAACTTATCAGTTGGAAGGTTTTATCTTGATCTAACAACAAATTCTCATAACCAATTTAAAGGAAATGTGTAGTAGCTTGAGGAGGAAATTCACAATCAGATCTTGGGAGTTAAAAGGTTAATCCAACAGGGGCTAAAATTGAATTATGTGGTACAGACTAATTCACTAGTAACCAGAAATACCTTGGGGAAAGATCTAACTCTGCTTAATTCTTGTCTATAACTGTAGCAATGAGGGGACCAACAGGAAAGAAGATGGAAGGATTTGGAAACTCACCTTCTCAACAGCCAAGTAAGTATTAAGTAAACCTACTCTTTAGGGTTTAAGCCCTAGGCTCATGGGGACTGCTTTTTACTAAAAAGAGAGCAAAACTCTCCAGCATCTGTTCCACCAAGCTAAACATTATTGTGCATGATTTTCCAGAAATTGAAGTGAACATTCAATCAATGAGTGCAGAAAATCAAACACAATTTTATATGTTATACAATTTAATTGTTAGACATGGAAATGACACAAAAAGTGTTCAAAATCAACATGAACACATAACTGTTGAAGACAACAAAGCAAACATTTAATTGCTCTGTTTTTATAAAGTCATTAATCATAGAATTGGTTTCAAAACTGCTCAATGTTATGTGAACACTCTAGGTATGAAGACCAAAGAATTTTTGCTGCATGTAGCATTATCTTCTTTCTTGAATTTTACTACAGAAAACAAAACGTGGCTTGATTCCATGAAAACTATGGCTGAACATCTTCCAGAGGCAGCAAATCGTTTTGCATCAAAGAAAGAAAAAGAAAGTATGGCATCAACTGGAGGATCAACTGGAGGCATCAGATTTGTTAATTACGTGGATTTTTCAGATCCTGATTCAGGTATCTTAGCAGTGTGTTGTTTTCTATGATGATGAGATGACACATCTGAAAATTCTAGTGGGGACATTAGTGTTTGAATTGTAGAAAATTCCAACACATAGATCTAGTGTATGAAATGTGTTAGATCCTGTTTAGCACTTTTTGCACAATCTGTAAGGAGTATTGCACATTTTCAAGTATCCACCATCCTACAGTGCTAAAATACACAAGATTCCAGCTTGTGCCTCAGCAATGACAACATTCACTGGAATCTGCCATCTTAAAATGGAGGCAGCATAACCACCTTGCCTGCTCCCTATAAAATCACCATCACTGAACTCTGATACCTCTACAGGCTATGTATGCATGGGGTTCAATAGCAATAAAGATTGTTGACTAGTGTTATAAATGATTCATTCTAATAATGAATTTTCCTGATCTTAGTAATATTTTGTCTTTCACTTAATATCTGAATTATTCATAATGGTTAATTATACCATCACATGGTCTTCAAGGAAGTAAATAGTGAATCAATCTAAAGTAAACACAGACAGAAGTGATCTTCATATTTACAGGAAATATTTGACAAAAAATTCTTAATTACTTTTAATTTGTAGATTCCAAGACATTTGTGGATGATGAAGTCTCCCACCAGTAAGAAACATCTTTGCTTTCTATTTGTAATTTCTAATTAAAAAGACTCACCAGTAAGTTCTCTCCTGCTCAATGGAGGAGCAAAGGAGTGCATATTCCAATGGTGTGGAGGTGTGATCCCCGTGGGAAACAAAGATATTTCCCCTTTTTCTATCATGACAAATTAAACAAAACGCACAATAGTGTTATTGGTTGGAATATACCCTGTATGACTCGAACAAATAAATTTTATTATAATAATTTTCAGTTGCATTGCCATAGGCATGTATTGATCCTTAGAGCATGTAAAAAAAATTCAGTAGGAGCCAAGAGGGTCTACCTCTATCCCTGACAGGAATTTTGGTCCATTTAGAAAACAGTATGCACAAGGTATTTTTCAAAACTCCTCTGAGTTGGTGGTCATTTAATATTAATATTAATTGGGGTAAATTGAAAGGTTTAATGTTTCTTTGTGTTTAAATTTCAGTTCATCAGGAGACCAAGAATCAGTAGAACCAGAAGATACCTTGTCTGTAGAAGTTCATCTTGTTGAAAACATTACATCTGAAGGTGGAATACGTGCAGTGCCTTCAAAGCAAGATTTAAATCAGTTCACAAAAAGGTAGAATTATACTTGGAATATTCTTCCAACTTTTGCATTAGTTTATGGTAATAAATTGTGTTGGTCAGAAATTTACAATTGCTGTTGTTGTATTGTTCAGGTTTCTTGCTCTTGCTAGTTTCCATTAAATTCCTGCTTGTTACTTTTAGCTCTGATAAGGAACTTAAACATCACTTATTGACAAATTCAAACATTCAAAGCATTCATTTAGATTTTTTTTTCTTGTAAGATGCTCTTCCTTAAATTTCAATGAGGTATTGATAGCACTGAACAGCAGACTACTGGAACCAGTCACTGAAGTTCAACTGGTAGGAATGTTTATTACCTAATAAGATATGTGTCTATTCTGAAATCACTTAAATCACTCGAGAAAAGGTTGTGTCATCAGTGAATACATTACAGTGTGATTAATTTGTTACCAAAAAAAGATAATACAAAACAATAAAATCCAGGTTTATTACAGGGTTTGTACAAGTCTTGGAAAACCTGGCAAGTCTTAGAAAAGGACTACAGGTCTTTGAGAGACCTAGAAATCTGCTTGATTTGTTCAATTAATTTTTCACAATTTACATTGTAAGAAATGTATATAGACCAGAAGGAGAATTGAATTAGAAATCTTGGGAATGAAAGGGTTTAAGGTGAAATTTGGAGTCCGGAAAAAATCTGAGTCCTGGAAAAGTCCTTGAAATGTGCTTTTGAAAAAGGATAAAAACCCTGTAATTACTATACAGTATGATAAAGGGGGCACAAAATTCAAGGTAATCTCAGTATTGGCCAGTCAATCTTGTAAAATTATCTGTAAAGAACAGTATTATAATTATGACAATGGTATAAAACTATCAATTAAAGAATGTAAGGAAAACATTTACACAAAGTGGGGCACATGTAGAAGGTCGAGGGTTTGAGTCCCAGACCAGAGGAACGCCTTGGTGGTTAAAATGATTGAGATAAATGTGCAGTCTTTAAAGTGACCTCTACAAATGGTTGGACATTCTGATCTTCTTGGATGAGGAGTCTAAACCAAAGAACTTTTCTCTTCTATTTTCATTGGTATGACTCAGAGGGGGACCTTGCATACATACTGGTTTATTGATAAATACACCAAGCTACTGTGAGCAACACTGACAAGCTAGTTTTCCTTTATGGCACAGAAGATGAAATTATAATAATTAGAATATTAAATGTAATATAATGATAAAAATTGTTTTGGCTGTGAAATAACATTTCAATAAAAAGTTTAAAAAATTGTTACAATAACTATAAAGAAAGACTACCAGTAAAATAATAGAAATCTTCCTAATATTTTAAAAGAATCTATTTGAAAAGAAAATGTGATCAAGATAGACCTAGCTGGTCTAATTTTCTTATGGTGTTTTTAACAGTATTACCTTGAAGAACCCATACTCTTATCACAGAATAAGGTGCAAAGACTAGTCTTTGCATGTTTATTTCAGCAGATCCAAATCAGGATACCACTGCCAAACTCCAAACTATTTAAACAAAAAAGCAAAAAAGAAGTAGAGTAAACTTGAATGGATTGTACTCAAGAACATAACTTGGACCTAATTTTTTTTTCAAGTTCATCCCAGTCTGGACAATTTTTTTTTTTTTAATGCTTAGACACCATATTTGCTTGTCACATGCCTAGCAAATGAAACACTATTACCATGGCTATTTATGGAGGGGTTATAAATATTAAAATTAAAAAAAAACTTTAGTACCATTTCAAATTTGGGATGGTTTAATTTATGAATGTAACAGGCTCTATTCAAAGTGAAATTGTAGTTAAATTTTTTTGTTTTGTTTTGTAAAGTTATGGACTTCAAATTTTTTTCTTTTTTTGCAGAAGTCACTACATGTTTTGGAGCACCTTTTAAAGAGTGATATTCCTTGTGTGGCCTCAAGAATGTCTCGATTTTGCACAAATTTGGAAGGAATTACAAAATCAGAAAGTGGTAGTGTTTTATCCAAGGCTACAAAGGTGAGTGGATCAGATTAATTTACTTAATGAAGAGTGATTTTTTTTTAAAATATTGTCTGTGTGGATATGCATCATACACATATTGACAGAAACAATATGTTGTTTTTATTTAGATCTTGTATTTACTGAATGCAAAAAGAAAAACAGAGGGAACTGAGAAAGGTAAGCATGAAGTATATGATATTGATCATAGATTTTGGCCTAAATAATTGTGACAAACTTCAGAAGGAAATGACTAGCAGTACTCAGTATTTGCAAGAGATGGAATAATAAGCAAAAACACAAATTGAGAAATCAGTACTACATGCTTCCATCTGTGATCTTTTCCAAGCTAGCAATACCCAAAGCTATATTTGGAAGTCTTTCCAGGGGATAACCCCACCCTAACCCAAGGGATGTGCCAGGCAAGGTTACCTTAGGGGCAGGGCTATCCTAACAATGGTACTTCCCCCCTACCCCCGTCATGTATATTTTTTAACCCAAAGGAAATGGCTTATTATCCTAAGTAGTTTGGGTAACTCTCTCTAAGATGATACAGTATATTGAGAACAGAGGAAGAGTACTTGTACCAATGTTAGTAATATCTGTGGGACTACTGAATGATGTTAAAGGACTTTAATCAAGTAACATGGTTGCACCAGCTTATTAGATAGTTGATTGATGAATAAAGACAGAATATAGAAGGTTAAATTAAAGAGTGAGAGTCTTCTCTAAATGAATACACAACAGATGGGTCCAAGAGTTAAAGA